TGCCTTACTGAGTGTAACCGTGATGTGGTGCCTTACTGAGTAAGTACTGGTTGTACAAAGTACAACCAACCGTGATGTGCTTTATGAGAGGGCACGGCCAGAAAGCACATGGAGGAAGGTGGCAGCCCCCACGGCCTGGGAGAGAGAAGGAGCTAAAGGCCAGCAACTCACGCAATTTGTGATTGCATCAAATCATGAAATTACGGGAAGTTTCCAGAGGAGGAACTTGGGAAAACATGACTTTGAGGCAAATTTCTCACCGTTTAGATCAGTGGTTCTCAACCTTCCTAATGCCGGGATCCTTTAATACAGTTCCTGTGGGTCGCGACCCACAGGGTGAGAACCACTGCTTTAGATGGTCATCTTTTATTTTCAGAAGAATCCCTGAAAATCTTAGGAGTAGAGTTCTCTGTACTTCACCACCGTGAATCTCAGCTGCTCTCTTGCAGAAGGAAAAGCACAGTGTCTGTATGTGCCCGGGCAGCAAAAGGACTTTCTTGCTCTGTCGTCTGATTTCAAGATACCTTTAGTGAGCGTACTCCCTGGTCCCTGTGCCCTTCTGCCCCCAGAGGGAGACGGCCTCCCTGCCTCGTGGGGGCAGCAGTGAGCACTCACAGTCTCACCACGTTCTCAGCATTTACTTCCCCAGATAGTTGTATATTTTCCCTTCCCTCAGAAGGCTTGGCCAAGGAGCTGTGAATTTAATTATTATTCCCTGGTTGATGGATGTCTTTATTCAACATTAGGTCTAATTATTGATGCTTTTGGAGAACTAAGAGACCAGCAGGAACAGGTCAAAGAAGACATGGAGGTAAGCATCTGTCACTCAGCTTCTTCACTGTTGTCGTGGGCACTTGTTTTCCAAACTCATGAACATGGAAGAAAGAGGGAAAGGACAAAAACAACCACGTGGTTTCCCTGGCCTGCTTTCCGTTCAAGCAGAGCACACAACTGAGCACTAAGTGTGCTGAGCTAGAAGGGCAGTGAACTCCAGGTCCACACCGGCAGCAGCAGGGCCCCATCCTGCCCCTCAGGGAGCAGGAGAACCATTCATGGAAAACTGAACAGTCACAGAAGAGCTGGTCGATGGTTGCAAGCTAGGGTAGTGAACCCTTTATGAGTGAGAGTGAAACCCTGCGTTCCAAGGTCTCCAGGGCTGGTGTCTATCTCCATCCCAGACAATCGCTGAACTTCCTAGAAGTAGGGAGAGCCAGGCTAAGACCTGAAGACTGTAGAAATGTGGTCGTGGTAGGGGCAGAGCAGAACAGTGTAGGCAACCTCCACCCCCACCTGTCACTTGTGTCTCCCACTGTGCATGCCTCCAGGGGTACCATTAACTCTGGGTTCCAGGAGAAAGTCGCCACCCAAAATCTCACACCAAGACTGTGATTTTGGAGAATTCAATAGGCAGACTTTTTTCTTGGAAGCATAAGTGGTTCAAGATGCAGCGTTAATTCTAGTGAGGGGGCTGGAGAGGAACGCCAGGGAATAAAGAGCCTAATCACTCATTTGAGAAATTTGCAGTTTAAGGTATGGGCTGTGGGAAACAAGAAAAGGGCTGTGAGTAGGGCAGCAGGTGATCGGATTTGCATTTTTAAAAGAGAGCTAAGGTTTAAAACACGGGGACTGCACTAGAGACTGGCAGGACCGGGCCAGAGAAGTGGGCCGTCTGCACTTCCCCATAGAGATTATGAGACCTTTGGTAAAGCCTAACACTAAGCATGCAGGAACTAGATGGATTCACGTAGGATTGGGGATGTGGGGCGAGAACTTGGTGATGGGACAGATGCAGAAGATGAAGAGGATGAAGCAAGCACAGGGATACCAGGGTTTCAGCCACCAGCCCCCAGAAGGATGGCAGCACCGTTAGCTGACGCAGGGAACCCAGAGGTTTGTGGACAAAGCTGATGAGGGTGGTTCGAACCTGTTTAATGTAAGAGACACTGTCGACGCAGTGGTGTAAGGACCTGATTGTTCTCCCAAACTGCTGATTTTGGCCTGTCTGCTTTTAGCAGCTGTTCATCAATAAGTCAGGAAGAATTTTGTAAATTACCTTAATCATCTGGACTGCAGTCCCCGGAATCCAGACATAAACATGCCTCCCTTGGTATCAAACAGCTTCCCATAGGCAGGGACAGATGAGCATCTGAGTCACACAAGGACAATAATTGTTTAATTCATTTGCATTTACACACATGGAATTCTAATAATGACACAGAGGCTCAGCTTCTCCTTGGGTTTTGTGGAACAGGCCGGCAGATGGCAGAACTAAGCAGGTCACTCTGTACAGGCTGCAGACAGAGAGCCATGCTGGGGGCGACAAAAAGAGGAGCCACCTGCCTCCTAGAGCAGGAAGTCGTTCCCAGGGGACATCCGCTGGTTAATTCTGTAGCTAGCACGGTGCCTGGACAGGGCAGTCCCCTCCTGCATCAATCATGGAATACCTCATAGCTTGGGATTTGATTTTTCACTCCCTAAAAGAAAGTGTTCTGCCCCTTCCCCCCTTGGTCATCAGACGTCGTTCAAGTGCTGAGTCTGCAGTTCAGTTGAGGACATAGTGGATCAGGTAACCTGAGGCAAGGTCATGGCTCAGAGTGACCGTGAACCTGGGCTGTTTCACCTAAGCTGGAGACGATAAGGGACAGACACGGCCTTCGGGCCTTGGTAACCTGTACTTTCTCTGTCCCTGTTGCTTCTTGCTGCTGGTACCTGCATCGTTTAAACCAACAACACGCTATTGTTCAGCCAACAGTTAAATTTCCGTTCGTGGACTAGGCTTCCTGAGCTTCCACATCAGGACCCCGAGGTCGCACAGCCGCCTGACACAGCCGGTTACGTCTCCCTCATGTTTTGCTTTCTACACGCCCTGACGTTTTCCTCTCCCCCTTTGTCTTCTAGACCAAATGCTTCATCTGTGGAATAGGCAATGATTACTTTGACACAGTGCCACACGGCTTTGAAACCCACACCTTGCAGGAGCACAACTTGGCCAATTATCTGTGAGTGTGCCCATCCCAGGCTCCCCACCCCTCCCGATAGCCCCGGCGCCCCATCCCAGCAAGCTGGAGAAGCAGGAGAGAGAGCTGCGGCTTGCTCTTCATAGTTGCTGCAGATTTTTTTTTTTTGAGACAGAGCCTCAAGCTGTCCCCCTGGGTAGAGTACTATGGCATCATAGCTCACAGCAACCTCCAACTCCTGGGCTCAAGCGATTCTCCTGCCTCTGCCTCCCAAGTAGCTAGGACTATGGGCACCTGCCACAACGCTGGCTATTTTTTGGTTGCAGCCATCATCGTTGTTTGGCGGGCCAGGCTGGATTTGAACCCGCCACCTTAGGTGTATGTGGCTGGCGCCTTAGCCACTTGAGCCACAGGCGCCGAGGCTGCTGCAGATTCTTTGAGAGAAAGTCACTCTCTTTTCCTCTGCAGTGGGCTTCCTTATGACACTAAGTTGCTGTTCTTCTTGTGAATGCCATTTTTTTTGAGACAGAGTCTTACTCTGGCACCCTGGGCAGAGTGCCATGGCATCATAGCACCAGAGCTCACAACAACCTCAAACTCCTGGCCTGGCCCAAGCAATCTTCCTGCCTTAGCCTCCCAGGTAGCTGGGACTACAAGCTCCCACCACAACACCTGGCTTGTCTTTCTATTTTTCGTAGAGAAGGGGTCTCACTCTTGCTCAGGCTGGTCTCTAACTCCTGAGTTCAAGCAGTCCACCACCTCAGGCTTCCAAAATGCTAGGATTACAGGCATGAGCCACCTTGCTCAGCATAAATGCCACTTTCTAAAACTTGAAAAGCAAAGGTGGGCAGCGTCCAGCACAGTCCCTTAGGGGTAGGGGCCCATGTTGCTCCTTCCAAATAGAACTCCACTGTTTCGGAAATTGGCTGATGAATCTGCATTTTTCTCTTCTGAAGACTTACAGATCTCTCCAGGCAATATTGTTAACCCAGTTAAAGGTGTTTTTTTTTTTGTTTGTTTGTCTGGTTTTTTTGTTGTTTTTTGCCGGGGCTGGGTTTGAACCCGCCACCTCCAGCATATGGGGCTGGTGCCTTACTCCTTTGAGCCACAGGTGTTGCCCAAAAGTTGTTTGTTTGTTTGTTTTTTTAATATGGAGAAATCTGGCCATTACTTGGGACTAGCCAGAAGTATAATCTGCTAAATTCTTATTCCTTTTCTAATCTAATTTTAATACCAAGCAGAAGAGGTACAGAGGAGCAGCTTGGGGGAAAAATGCTTTAATTATATTCAGTTGAACTTCCTCAGTAAATTAGAACTTGTTATTAAGCTAGTTGTCAATGAAAATCCGTCAGTATCGATTCGATTCTGACAAAAATGCGTATATTGCTAACTTGAAGCTCAAGTGCCTCCAGGGTAAAATTGTGCATCAGATCAGCAAAGCCAAGTCAAAAAAATCTTTACCTCCTTCTGGTACCCTGTAATTAATTTTCTAGAAAATGTTTATGTGTTGGTTTCTCTGTGTCTACCGTAATTGAGTGCAATACCTAATGTATAAAAATATGCCCTCTTTACACTGATAGTGTCATGCACTGAGTTTCTGATCAGTCTCTCTGTTTCTGTAGGTTTTTTCTGATGTATCTCATAAACAAAGATGAAACAGAACACACAGGACAGGTAGGTAACCAGCATCTAAGTAGTATCCTTTCAATGAAATGGTAGAGAAGGCCTCAATGCTGGAACAGAGTGTGTGCGTTCAACAGTCAGGGGTGGAATTACTTTCAGATATTAGTTGTGATATATTGATGAAAACACCTGTCATCTTGGATAAGGGTGAAAAAGATTGGCTGTGTTAAAAAAGTAAAAATTCTAATTTCACATGAAACAAGCTGTCGTTAGCTGAAAATGCTGAGTTTGGGTTTTGAAATCTCTGTTACAAGAAAACTGAGTGGTCTTAATTATTGTTTTGAAATTCTTCTTCTGCAAGTGTTCCCACAAATCGTTAATATAGTTTGAATTAGAAGTACGCAATGATTATTACTAATAATAGTTTAAGAGAACCCTTAACAAACATATATCATAAATATACTTTTGATCAGTATTATATTATGGTTAGAACGAGGACTGATTATCACTAGAAGTAAATAAGGCCACTACAATAAGGGACTATCGAAATGAGTCAGGACTTCAAAGTACATGTGATATACCAAACAACAAAGTTGAGTTTTTACCCTGTATTTTGAGTTAACGCCCAGACTTAGGGGAAATGTTAACCCATTTCCTTTACTTTTACAGGAATCTTATGTCTGGAAGATGTATCAGGAGAGGTGCTGGGAATTTTTCCCAGCAGGAGATTGTTTCCGGAAACAGTATGAAGACCAGCTCAATTAAACTCAGATCCCGGATCACCATGAAAAACCAAAACAGACTCTCGCTCTCCTCTCTCTCTCTCATTCTGTCCCTCTCTCAATCTCTCTGCTCTCTTGGACACATCTTGCTGATTTGGTGAATTGCCAGCACCGTGTGCTCTCCGGGAGCGTTGAAGCTCTGTTTCTGAAGACCTGACCGAGTTTCCCCCCCACCATGTGTATTTTCATCGAAACTAAAGACTGCAGAATAATCTAAATTAATACACAGACCACATAGGAACTCTGGAAAGAAAACCATTGGGGACACTATCATATCACGCACTGACAGATTTTTCTTCTGAGACTCTTGTCTCGTTGAGCTACAAGACCTTCCCCAGAGAAGGTGGCAGCCACAGTCACCCGGCCTCTTTATTTCACCATGCTGGAAGGGAGCTGTCTAAAGGTCGCCGAGCACTGTAGCACTTCACAGATTGCTGTGGACACCAGTGATGACGGGAAATAGTGCCTTACTATACGTGGGTTGAGCTATGCAGAAGAAATGTGCATGAAGAAACATCTTTATTTTCTTTATATCAGCCTTTCTTTTCTTAGATTAATTTTGTGAGTTTTATTTCGTTTTTTCCTTGTGTTCTTTTCTTTGGTGGGGGAGGGTAAGGAAAGCAATTTGCACCTTTTTAAAAAGATGGTGGTACGACTCAGGATGAAAGGAGGCTCTTCTCATTCAGCGAAATTCACCTTTGCCCTCCCCATGTGCTCCTGCTGTTATTTTGGTAATGCTCTGATCCAGCGTTGCAACTTTATGAAATCTTTGTATGAAAACACAAAGACTGCAAAAAAATACACTTTCAAAAGAAATCATTCATTGCATGTTGATTATGCAAGTTCAAATGAACAAAGAAAACCTTCAGAAGCAAGTTGATCAACGTGAGAGAACTCTCATGATAATTCTTTCCATAGTAATAAAGTGTCGTGGGCTTACTTGTATATCTGGAGCCAGTGTCATCCACCAACAATGTGATACATCATGAACTTGACGGTAGTTTGGAGTTTTTTTCTCTTTCTTTGAGCCACCTTGTGATCAGTTGTTGACTTCAGGACTTCTCGTCAGGCCATTTTTTTAATATCAAAGCTGAAGCAATATCCATTCAGGGATTTCATCAGTTGCATCACGAAACACGGATGATACTATACATCACTCCATTTTTTTTTTCCATTTTGAGTCCTTTTAAATGTAATGCTAATCTTTACAATGAAAAAGACCGATTCAGAATGGAAGCAAGATCATTTTGCAAACATTGGAGCTCTTTTATTACAAGTCTGCTTGTTAATTTTAGAACTGTAAAACTGCTCTGATTAAACTATTTAACTAACTTTCTCATCTTCTTCTTTCTCTATTTAACTTACACTACATAAGTGGGCCTCATTATAAAACCTGGAGCTTTTAACCTGAGGTGGGTATAGTGCAGTCCCAAACACTTCCCTGAGACCTTCTTCACTGCCACATTCCATGTAGCTTAACAAGTTCACTGTATTCATGATTATGGGTCTCCAGAGTCACTGGGCACCTGCTCACCCTTATTTCCCTGTCATAAAGGTCATCCCTCTAGTGACAAAAAAAAATCACTGTCTCCTAGATTGTTTAATTTCTATAGAGCTCTCACTTTAGAAAGCTCTTCCTTGCTCAGGGGAAATTCATTTTCTGTAATATTAGGAATCCATTTTCTGATATGGATTAAGATATATATGGATTCCTTATATGGATTTCTTATATGGATTCATTTTCTATAATATTAGGAATCCTTTTTCTTATATGGATTAATATGTCTTACACGTCTTAATAAGAAAGAGAATTAGCAGGTAGTTAAGTGGTGATTAAACACTCAAATACTAACTGACATTTGCTGATGGCCTTGGATTGTGCTGAGTATGGTGACAGATCTGTCATATGTCATTGTATAGATTTCCCATTTGTATTTTGGTATCACTTTTATTTGGCGGGAGAAATCAATTTAGCCATACCATGGGAATGTTCAAGCCTGCTCAGGGAGGTGACCTGAGGCTCTGAGGAGTCGGAATGAAATAAATCAGGTCAGCACCATAAAACATCAAAGGGCACTTTGCCCTTTGCCATGGACACTGCAGAAGGAGCGTCTAGCAGGGAAGGATAAATATTTTTCCAGGACGTGAAGTCCACGGAGACTCAGGCCTTCTTTTTATGATGCTTAAATCAGAGTTGACATAAAACGACAGGATAGGTGAGTGGGGAGTGAACAAATTCATAGTCATCCCAAGATTTTATAGACTCTTGTAAGCTCTCCCAGCTTAAACACCCTCGGAGGTAGAAGAGGATCTCTGGGAGAGAGGCCGGAATTTGGGAAAGGAAGCTTCCCCTGGCTGGTGGGCTTCAGGCACATCGGTGTGGGAGAGAGAGGAAAGGCTCAGAGCTGGTCAACTTAGAAAGTCACAGCTTTCCTAACCGCATTGTCCATCAACAGTAGAGGAGGCCCCACCTTCCTTCCCTTCTCAAGGCCTCAGAGGCAGAAGTAGGAAGGGACGGTCTCCAGGGCCTGAGGAATTCAGCCAACTAGAGCTGTTCACCAGGTCTGCAGCGTTTAGTTCCTGTGGCCTGTGGCTACCCTGCTGGCTGAACCCAGCCCTGAACAGATGCTGGCAGCTTACAGATAACTCAAGTGAACTCCACTACCATGCTGAAGGCTCCAGCCCAGGAGGAGTCACAGCTTCAGCACCCTAATGTCACCTGTGTATGTAATGACAAGGTAACCATGCATGTGCAGTGGCAACCCTCTCCTACATGCAGTGACACTTTTTTCTTTCTCTACTGCCCCACAAAACCCCCATGCCACTTTCCCTTGGGGAGACACTGCTGTAAAGAATATTCCTGGTCCTAGCACTCTGGGAGGCCAAGGCAGGTGGATTTCTTGAGCATGGAGGTTCGAGACCAGCCTAAGGAAGACTGAGACTCCACCTCCACTAAAAATAGAAAAACTATCCAGGCATTGTGGTGGGCTCCTGAAGTCCCCAGATACTTGGGAGACTGAGGAAGGAGGATCAGTTGAGCCCAAGAGTTTGAGGTTGCTATGAGCTATGATGATGCCATGGCACTCTACCTAGGGTGACAGAGTGGGATTCTGTCTCAAGGAAAATAAAAAATAAAAAAGATCACTCCTGGGGTTCTCCTTACTTGCTTCAAGTAATTATAACTCCTATGTAATTAACAGCTCCTGCTGATCAAGACCCACCTGTGTTCTCCCAGAGAGTCATTTGTTACTTGCCAAATAAGAGAAGCCAGATCCTGAGGGGGTCACAGAAAGGCAAGAGGGAGATTTTCTTTATCAGCATTAACTCCCCCAGGAAATGTCTCGGTGAGTCTCCAACACAATTTATCCACTTCCCTGATTCAACTCAGGACTGCTTGACCCAAACTCAAGAATTGTGACCATTGTAGAAATTTTATACCAACATTCTACATAAAGGACATTGCGATGATTGCCCACAGACCCCCATCTGGGCTCCAGCACTTAGAAATACCATTCTGTCCTTGTTATTTCATCTATTTCTCCTCTCTTGTTTTTCCTGAAAATATCTTCTACTCTAGAAGTTTAGATTCATCACTTAACTTGAAGTTTTCCAAATGCACTCTGGTTATGAGCGTTTAAATGCTGCTCTTTGAATGGAAGCCATCTTC